ATATAGAGGGGTAGGTACGCCCTTCGACAAACAGAGATGGTAACGCCCATTCGGTTCTGAAAAATATTGAATTTGAATTAGAAGATGCCGACACAGCGGGTGATTGCAAAAGTTTGTGAAAGTAGGTAATTGTACATTTGCGAACCATCCCTGTTTGTTGATGTCCAGTTCAAAGAAATTCCCAGGCGTGCCTATGAATAAATATCTTCAAAGTGATAATAAAAATTTGTACAAACTAACAACTATCGTAAACTAATATAAATATAAAACTTAACTTACAGCACGTCTTCTAAATATTACAAAAATATATACAATGACTATACACAATGATTATATACAATTAACAAAGACCGAACATTACGCCCACCGAAAAAATACAATTTTTTCCAAACATAAATTAAAATTTCTTATATGATACTAGTTTCATTGTCTCTATAAATACACACTAATAACTAAACACAAGTTCTGTCTTTACATAACACTATTGTTTTTAACACAACACTACACTGTACAGAGGGTTCAGAATTGTGTGTCGAAATCAGGTAACATTATCACTACACTATTAGGATTCACTTACTGTCACTGTCCGTTGTTGCTGATAAGGGATCTGCTCATCGTTTTCTTCTTCGATCGGTAAAATGCATATCTTTTTAACCGGCCGTTTAATGATTCCTTCTGAAATCCTGACGGTTATGACCCTCGTTACGTTGTCCTTGCCTTGGTGAAGCTGTAGGATACGTCCCATACGCCATCGCATAAGCGGCAAGTTGTCGTCCTGAATCACAACCACGGTTCCTGGGTTCAATCTAGGATTTGTAGACAAAGTCCATTTACTACATTGTTGTAGCTGGTGCAGATATTCTGACTTCCATCGTTTCCAGAAATGTTGCTGCATCTGGACCAGCTACTGGTACCGGTTCAGTCTAGGTGATTTGATGTCCTCGAGGTTCGGCTCTGCAAAACTAGTTAGTGGTTGCCCGACAAGAAAGTGACCTGGGGTTAAGGGGATAAGGTCATTAGGATCTTCTGATATAGGAGACAAAGGACGGGAATTCAAACAAGCTTCGATTTCCGTTAACACGGTGTACAGTTCTTTATAAGTTAACCTAATGTCTCCTATGACTCGTTCCAAGTGACCCTTTATTGATTTAACGGCACCTTTCCGTAGTTCTCCAAAGAGTAGTGGTGAAGAGGGAATCAGGTGCCAGTTGATTTGGTGTCCTGTTGAATAATTCGCTATTTGCGCAATATTGCGTTCATTAGTGAATAAAGTCCCAATTTGTCGTAATTCATTGCGTGCTCCTATGAAATTAGTACCGCTGGCGCTGTCTGAATAAATATACCTACACATTCCTCTCCTAGAAATAAAATGTCTCAAGCAGTTCAGAAATGCTTCGATGCTTAAATTGACAGTCAATTCAATGTGCATAGCGATACTCGCTATGAACCATACGAAAATACAAACATATGACTTCGGTGTAAGCTTACTTCTAGTCCTTGAGGCATTCTGAAGCCTACCGCCCACCCTAAGGGGACCATGTCTATCTAAAAATGGGTTGAGTCCACGAATGTTACTTGTTCTCGAAGTACATTTACCCCATGTAAGTTCATTGACCTCCCTTTGAAAGTCCTTACATTGTGCTAATCTTAAGAATACAATTCGTGCATAATTACGATCATTAAGAGATAGTGGAGCATAATTACGTTCTGCCTTTGTGATCCTAAAATTTTTGATAAATTGAAAGCACCATGCAATGACTCTAAGGAACTTATTGGCAGATGAGTATTGCTGGAGAATGTCGAAATTGGAGCTACTGTGAAGTAAATGTGAATGTGTACCTTGTCGTTCTTCTGGAATTGCTGCGTCTTGAGTATGAAGCGGTGCTGGCAACTCTTCCGAATCCCTTGACAACCATGACGGCCCGTTCCACCAAAAGTTAACATTGCATAATTCTTGAGGGATAAGTCTCGTGCTGTTTGTAGTTGTGTCACATTCTTCTGATTTCCAAAAACGTTCCATTTGATGTGAAAGATTATCGGTAGTGGCTGATTGTTCGGTTGTTAAATGACACGACGTAAGACTGCTGTCGGTACCCTTATTTGAAGTTACTGTACCGCCTAGAATCCAACCAAGTTGCGTCTTCTGTAATATAGGTTGGCCTGGATGTGTTCGTATTTGTCCAATACATAGAAGGTCCCAAAACAGTCCAGCTCCAATTAGCAAGTCGATTGGCCGCGAAAGGGAAAACTCAGGATCAGCTAGCGTGATTCCAGGGGGTAATTTGAATTGATCTACACTGAATGCTACGTTCGGAATGTAGCTAGTGATCCGTGGCATTATCAAACAGGTCGTTATCGTTGTAAAACCACTGGTTTTGGAGTGCATCTTTACTTCCGTCTTGTAGTCAACTTTTCGAGTTGCATTTTCAATTCCAGAAACTACAATTGTCGCTTGTGTGCATGATAGTTTCAGGCGAGTCCATAAATCCGTCGTGATGAAGTTGGATTGAGATCCAGAGTCAAGCAAAGTTCTGCATTCATGCCGTTTTCCTTGCTTGTCCTGGATTAATACGATCGCTGTTGATAATAGTACATGCGAAGTATTTGAATTCGTTGATTGGGCTACCATTGTTACCGAGGGTGCTGCAGATGTTGAGGGAGTCACAGGTGTTGGTTCATTGTTACTATTGCTTGTTTGAGGTTGATTGCTGATGTCTTGATGAAGTAGCGAGTGGTGTTTTCGGTGGCATTTCTTACAGTGCCCGTAGTTACATGATTTGTTCCTATGCCCTGGATTTAAACAGTTGAAACATAGTCGCATTTTTTGTACTTCTTCTACTCTTCTCGCGGGAGTAAGTTTCTTAAATCCTTCACAGTAGTATAAAGGATGAGATTTTTTACAAAATACACAGCTGATTGTGTTAGTTACTACATGAGATGTCACTTGTTCTGTTTTTCTATAATTAAATGATCTCTTATCGTTCGTACAATGACCTTTACCAGAATAAATTGGCCTTTCTGTTGTAGTCATTTCAAGATATTTACAATGGTTTTCCAGTACGTTAACAAAATCTCTTAACGTAGGTTTACCAACCAACTTAACCCTTTGCCGTTCCATAATGACATCTTATTGATATTTTCATTCTAAACCATACCAATAATACTGTTTCGGTGTTGGTGTTTCAAAACAAACACATCAATACCGTGAGCTATGTCTTAATTAAAACAAGTACAGAAAAAATACAAGTTGCAAAAAATGGTCACTGAAATGTCACGTAACAAGTTCTTGGTACAAAGGTTGAAATACTTGTCTTCTCTTTTTCATGAATTGGTACAATTAATATATACATATAGAGGGGCAGGTACGCCCTTCGACAAGCAGAGATGGTAACGCCCATTCGGTTCTGAAAAATATTGAATTTGAATTAGAAGATGCCGACACAGCGGGTGCTTGCAAAGATTTATGAAAGTAGGTAATTGTACATATTGCGAACCATCCCTGTTTGTTGATGTCCAGTTCAAAGAAATTCCCAGACGTGCCTATGAATAAATCCCTTCAAAGTGATAATAAAAATTTGTGCAAACNCAGCTGGTTTAGTGTAGTGGATGAATTAGCTGCAATGGTTCTGTGTTCTTCGCGTTCGCGACGTTCCTTCTCCACCGACTTCTCAATTGCTTCACGTGCAGTACCAATCAGCTTGAAGTATGTTGTCTCGAAATTAGTCCGTTCACGGTCTTGGGTTTGCAATTGTTCCTCGGTTTCTGCAGTTTCTTCAATCCTAGATTGGATGTCTTTAAATTTTCCGTACAATGGTTCTGCTATTTCTAAACGCGCCTGAATGTTGCATATTTCGGTTTCTAGGTCACAGGTGTCCAGGAATGATTTAAAACGAGTCAAGCTAGCCTTAATTCGTCTACGTTCGAAGATTAATTGTTCGAGATCGGCCATAATTACCAAATGTTACGCAAATCTACAACTTGTTCAGAAACTTAGGGGTTTGGTTGTTCAATAAGGGTCTGGTACAGGTCACAGATTCGGGTCACTGAAAATCGTGAAGCTGAGGTTCTCGTAGTAACTTCTACTAAGTCCTTGGTTGACTAAAGCTCAGGGTTTCGCCTTTGTTCTTGGTATCTTTGATATGTTGAATGGTAATCCTCAAAATGTACAATAGTAGCCACAGTAATGTTCACAATAGTTCCGAAACAGTCACAAAGAAAATAGTTCAAGTTCGCACTAACACAGTCACTGAAAATGTTCAAGTTCCTAAATACAAAGTACCGTTAATACAAAGTACAGTTCAAAATAAGTTCGCGTCACTATATCCGGCTCGAAGGACCAATGTTTCGGTGTTGGTCTTTCAAAATAAACACATCAATACCGTGAGCTATGTTTTAATTAAAACAAGTACAGAAAAAATATAAGTTGCAAAAAAATGGTCACTGAAATGTCACGTTACAAGTTCTTGGTACAAAGGTTGAAATAGTTGTCTTCTCTTTTTCATGAATTGGTAAAAAAAAACTTTTGGGTGTTTCATTCCCACCAGCCGGTAATGCTGGTGGGCGGGCAGTCCCTCCGGGGAAGGTTGGGCGGAAGGCCCTCTTCAGCTTGCTTTCAGGAATCGTGGGAATGGGTGGGTGGTGGTTCGGGTGAGAAAGATGAGACGGACGAAATGAAGACAGAAGAGAGTGAAAGACTATCTGTGGAATATTACTGCCTCAACATTTGCCTAAGTGATCCAAGGAAACCACAGAAAAACTTGGACCAAGGCCGACGGACCCGAAATCGAACCGGCGTCCTCCCGAATGCTAAACAATGGTCTAAACCTCTAGGCCATGCCGCTCGGTCATGAATTGGTACAATTAATATATACATATAGAGGGGTAGGTACGCCCTTCGACAAACAGAGATGGTAACGCCCATTCGGTTCTGAAAAATATTGAATTTGAATTAGAAGATGCCGACACAGCGGGTGATTGCAAAAGTTTGTGAAAGTAGGTAATTGTACATTTGCGAACCATCCCTGTTTGTTGATGTCCAGTTCAAAGAAATTCCCAGGCGTGCCTATGAATAAATATCTTCAAAGTGATAATAAAAATTTGTACAAACTAACAACTATCGTAAACTAATATAAATATAAAACTTAACTTACAGCACGTCTTCTTAATATTACAAAAATATATACAATGACTATACACAATGATTATATACAATTAACAAGGACCGAACAATCTTAAAACACCCACAAAAATTGCAAATAAATATGGAATATTTCAACTTGTTTGCATGGCTCAATTTATTTTTAGGTCCTCTTAAACCTATTTTTGTACATAACGTACCCTTTATGTGCTTTAACGCCAAAATCTTTAGCCTATGATGCAACACGTGTACACAGAGAAATTGCTTCCATATGTTTATTGCATTATACATTCTACATATTGCTTTAAGTATTTAGTTATTCAGATGAAAGGAATATTAAACCACAATAAAACAAAGCTTTGTTAAAGAAAGTAGCAGTTCCCTTTAGTAATGCAATTATCACACGTGTATATTAACATGTAGTTATCTTTAATAAAATGCAAAAACTTTATACAGTAGTCATGTGATGTTAGTTTCAGATAATAAAAAAATATGAATTTTGAAAAATATGAAAATTTCAGTAGTAAATTAACTATTTAAATTGAGTCAAAAGAATATAGTTCAGAATGCCAAAATGTGAGACAATGCAAAGAAATCGCATCGATGTTTAAACGTTTTGTAACAGCCTGTATATACGAGTGTTCTACCAGACATAAGCTTCATTAATAGCAAAGTTTCTAAATTACAAAAATCGAATTACGTCAATTTCGAAATTGTTCTCACTTTTTGAAGTGAAACTTTTTTACGCACGGTAGGGTAAGTTCGTTTCATGCGAGTTGCTATGTAAGGAAATTATACAACGGATGTCCCCCCTCTACTCGGCCGTGTAGTCGAGTTCGTAGAGGGGATCGCTTGAGCCGTGAACGCGCTTCAATGCAACATTCGTTACAGGCAACTGCGCCATATATAGTGTAAAATTTAAATTCATAGTGTACAAATAATACCACTAAACCAATTCCTTAACCCCTATCCCGGTATGTTTGTGTGTTTGAAGAATTTTCACTTCAGTAGCGTGTTGTATAATTACACGTTGTATTTTTTATTTTATTTTAAAGCTACCGAAAGCCTGATTCACCATTCCTTTTCTGTGGTTTCAAGTGGTGTAGTTTTAACTTTTTTCAAGCAGTCGTAGATGTTTACTTTAGTATCTTTCATCAAAGATAGGAGCTATCTGACCTACAGTGGGACAACCAGTATATCCGTTCGTAATTCTCCTGAAGCAGTTGCAACATGCAAATATACCAAAGCGATTCTGGTCAGAGTTGTTCCAGGTATCGATTTCATCTCGCATACAATTAAGTCGATTAGAACACGGTGTTTACTCTCTGAAATTAGAGTTGTTCTTACCGAAGATTATAAAGGATGTGCAAACCTCTTCAGTTATAGCTCTAGTGCAATTTTACTCAACGTTGCTTAAACCTAATAAGCTCTTGAACTGTACATATGTTCACGTAGAAAAGGTTCTCGATCAGCGAACTAAAGCTGCTTACCTCAAGTTAAATTAAACAACGGCTTTTATTAAAAATACAAATATCTATCTGTTGTAGGAGACACTAACTAAAATTAACAGGACGTATATATTGCTTACATCTTTAATTATTTATTGAAATACGTAATACGGCAATAAATTTATTTCTTTCTATTGTAATATTCGTGAGTTTAACAAAATTAACTTATAAGACTGATAACGATAAAAACTATTTATTTACACTAATTATTAAAGAACCTAAAAACACCATTAAATTATTATTAAACTTAGGTTATGAATCATTCTATTTATTTACACTACTGTTGATAATATCACTATTCACTGCGCTATTTATTTCACTGCTATCACTGTCAATTTATTTCTTGATTCACTTCTGCAACGGTCAATTTATTTCTTCTCTTCAGGGCGATCGTCTCTTCCTTTAAATACTCTTTTGTTTATTTTCTGGAACTTTCTGGAAACATTCGGATAGTTTATTTTAATCGATAAGCCGTTCACGCACACGTCTGCTCGCTACACTATTTTTATTTTTAAGCAATTAAAAACACAACTGATCATTTCCAACTTATTTGTTATTCCCGAGTGTAATTTCGCTACACTGTAAGTTTTAAAGTGAGTATTGTACTAAATTGGTTTACAAAATATCCTACTCATAACCACCTTAATTTAAAGGAATGAGAGATTATATTTGAACAAATTTAAAAGTCGATAATTGCTTAAATTTATTTGATGATTTGGTAACAGGTTTGAGTTATAACTTTTTATTTTACTAATTTCTAGTGATTTTGGTATATTAGATTTTGAACTGTTACTTAAACTGTGTAAAATTTTGAAATATTTATTGAAATTGTGGATTTCTGATAGCATAATTAGAATATTGTTTTTTATTTTCGAAACTTGGTAAATGTTCGCTAATCCGAGTTTTAAATGATCACCCACTTTGTGCTATACATATTATATATACTATAGATAACTCTTT